TAAACATTGTTGAACTGAATCTGCATGGTCTCCTGGAGTTCCTTGGGCTAGGCCTGACAGATACCTCTACTCCCTATTCTCCACCACACAAAGGAGACTGGGTAGACTAGGAAATAAAAACCAGTAGAAACCAGTTACAAAACTGTCCCTGAAGATTGCAAAGAAAACAGTATAGTTGCCATAGCATAGCATAGCATAATTCTAGTGTATAGATAAAATAATCAGGAGTCAAACTTACTCAAAATTACTAAATCTATCAACAAAGGGTGCTTCCCTGCAAATGAGATCCCCCCCCCCCGTAAGAAAATTAAAAGAACCATCCAAATCTAATAACACTACAGATTCAAAGCAAAGTTTATATTATATAGAATTAACCTACTGTTTTTACCCTCAGCTATCTCCAACCAGAACTATGAAAAATTTATTCAGACGTTTCATTCCTTTCAAAATTTAATTTTGTTTTTTGTTTTATCTTGGTTGTAAAATAAGTGATAAAAGTTTGGAGATATCCTTTCCTTCTAGAAAACCATCAGGATTTTTTTTTTTTAAGAAAATGTAATTTATACTGAGCTACGCTGCCTAATGTAAAAAAGGCTTCAGTTATGCAGCTATCTCAAAATTAAAGGTGATACTTCTACTCTCTATTCTCCACCACACAGAGAGAAATTGGCTAGAGTATGAAATAAAAACCAGTAGAAACTAGTTACAAAACTTTCCCTGAACACTGTAAAGAAAACAGTATGCATAGTATAGCATAGTACAGCATAATTCTAGTGTATAGATAAAATAATCAGTAATTTAGCTTCACTCAGACTTACTAAATCTATCAACAAAGGGGGCCTTCCTGCAAATGAGTTTGCAGGAAAATCATAAAAAAACCCATCCAAATCAAATAACACTATTGATTCACAACAAAGTTGACATTATATAGAATGATCTTATTGGATGCATCCTCAACTATCTCCATCTTGAACTACAAAAAATTACCTTAGATTTTACATTCCTGAATGACTCAACCTGATACAAAGCTCACAATCTGCAATCCCCATAATATTTATTCAATAATCAATATATTCTACTTTCCTTCACTTACCCATTTGGTTGGTGATCTTCCCTTCTGG